ATCACTTCGGGGATCTCACAGCACACAAAACCCCCAAAATCTGTTCCTAAATCACACCGGGGACCTCAGAAACCTCAAAATCTGTTCCTAAATCACCTCAGAGCACCCAGAAACTCAAAAACCCCACATTGTGTCCCTAAATCACCTCAGAGCACCCAAAAACCCCAAAATTTGTTCCTAAATCACCTTAGGGACATCACAGAACCCAGAAACCCCAAAATTGGTCCCTAAATCACCTCAGAGCACCCAGAAACCCCAAAAATCGGTCCCTAAATCACACCGGGACCTCAACAACCGCAAAATCTGTTCCTAAATCACTTCAGAGCACCCAGGAACCCCAAAATTTGTTCCTAAATCAGTTTTGGGATCTCACAGCACACAAAAACCCCAAAAATCTGTCCCTGAATCACCTCAAAGCACCCAGAAAACCCAAAATCTGTCCCTAAATCACACCGGGGACCGCAGAAACCTCAAAATCTGTTCCTAAATCACCTCAGAGCACCCAAAAACCCCAAAATTTGTTCCTAAATCACTTTTGGGATCTCGCAGCACCCAAAAACCCCAAATCTGTCCCTGAATCACCTTAGAACACCGAGGAACCCCAAAATCTGTTCCTAAATCACCTTGGGGACCTCAACAACCCCAAAATCTGTTCCTGAATCATCTCAGGACACCCAAAACCCCCAAAATTTGTTCCTAAATCACCTCAGAACACCCAGAAACCCCCAAATCGGTCCCTAAATCATCTCAGAACACCCAGAAACCCAAAAAATCTGTCCCTAAATCACCTTGGGGACCTCAACAACCCCAAAATCGGTCCCTAAATCACTTTGGGGATTTCAAAGCACCCAAACCCCCCCAAAATCTGTCCCTGAAGCATCTCAGAGCACCCAAAAAACCCAAAATCTGTTCCTAAATCACCTCAGAGCACCCAAAACCCCCAAAATCTGTTCCTAAATCACCTCAGAGCACCCACAAACCACAAAATCTGTGATGGGGGGACCCCAGGGTGGATCCCCGGGGGGGGGGGTCCCCAAAATGGGGATCCCATGGGGGTCCCATGGGTG